GCCATCCCACTACTGGGAATCTATCCAACGAACCTGAAATTAACAATCCAAAGAGGCTTAGGCACCCCTATGTTCATTGCAGCATTATCCACCATAGCCAAGAAGTGGAAGCAACCTAAGTGTCCCTCGACTGATGATTGGATCAAGAAGATGTGGTATACATATACAATGGAATACTACTCAGCCATAAAAAAAAGACAAAATCGTCCCATTTGCAACAACATGGATGGGCCTGGAGGGTATTATGTTAAGAGTAGTCAGCCAGAAGGAGAAAGACAAACACTGTATGATCTCACTCATATGTGGAATATAAACCAACTCACGGACAGAGAAAACTGTATTGTGGTTACCAGGGGCAATGGGGGTGGGGGGTGGGCACAAGGGGTGAAGGGAGTCATATATATGGTGATGGACAAACAAAAATGTACAACCCAAAATTTTACAATGTTAAAAACTATTAAAACATCAATAAAAAAAAGATGTAAAAGAAAAAAAAAAAAAAACAGGGATCTTAAAGCTCAGATGGTGCTCAAATTGTAAATGCAAGCTCTAGACAGAGGGATACTTTCTGGCCTTGAGCAAAAAATCTCCTGTGACTCTTTTATGTACATAACAGCTTCCTGGAAATAATTATCACCCCTCCTTAGAGCTTTGGGCCAGAAGAAAAAGAACCTACTTTTCATCCAAGTTCAGCAACTTGGGGACATTTTCTTGTTCAATTCAAGAAAATGGGCAGGTTTGATACTTCATTGCCAGATATGATCCTTATGAGATGTCACATATACATAGCAACTGCAACAGCTTGGTATTCCATGAAAGCTAGGACTGAGACTGAATTTCTAGCTACAATATCACTGTAGCATGCAGACCATCTGGCCCTGACCATAGAGCAAAGGATGTAATAAATATCAGAAAAGATTTTTCAAAGTTGAAGGGTAAATTATGCTACGTGGAAGTGAAATTTAAAATAAGGCTAGGCATCAGAAAAATGGATTTGACCAATTCAAATCTTAGAAATAAATACCATCTCACCACATACACAAAATAAATACACGGTAACTCTGAGGGGATGGATGTGGTAACTCACCTTATTGTGGTAATCATTTCACAATATATATGTATATCAAATTATAACATTTTATGCCTTAAACTTATACAATGTTATTTGTCAATTATATTTCAATAAAGCCGGGGAGGGGGGGGAAGAAAAATACCATGGCACTAATTTAAAGAATACAAAGAAACCACAATACAAAAACAAAAACACAAGGGAAAGAGATAGTTCCTTAAATTCAAAGATTCCACCACTGATTTTATATACACACTCACACACACATACATAATTTGGATTCTACTTTTTTGTTCTAAATTTTATCCTAGAATATCACTCTTCTAACTGTAAAACAAACATCTAGACCATCAGATCCTTGAGAAGAGAAGCCAAATATTAATGTCTGAGCACCCAGAGCTCAATACAGTACATTGTAAATGGTGTGAGTTAAATATTTTTATTTAGGTAAATAATTTAATGATAGAACACTCAAATTTCTTTAAACACAATATTTCAAGATCTATATTTTTGTCCGGAGTACAGATCTGAAATAGTACAAATTGTTCCCAAATATCTAACCATGAATTAAGCAAATAGAGTGGGAAAAAATTCTCCTGAGTTAGGTTCCCATTTCTCACACCCACTCACTCTTACTTGACTCAAACTATTTCCATTAAAAATATTTAGTTAAACCTTTAATGGACAACATGTGAAAAGGTCTGCTGACAACAGGGCTGAGATGAGCACAGGGGCTGGGCAGGGGGCGCGTGGACTCTGAAGTGGTCCACTTCCTGCTGGAAGCCAGTCCTGTCCTCTCTTTGCTGTAATCAAGGCCTGCTTGGATGACACCCCAATAAGTAGCTTCTGACCATTTCAGTATGGGATATATAACTTAAATATATAAATAACTTAAAAGTAAAGTAGGAAAATGGTTTTCTTTTAAAGAAACAGCAAATGGAAGACCAGCCCTGGCTCTTGAGTACACCAAGCACAACACTGAGCATCCCCTCCCCAAATGTCTACCGTAGCCCCCACTTGTCAACATCTTGTTTCCCTGACCCTATGCTTCTGGCACGATGGCTGAAGTTGCAACTGAGGCTTCACAGATAGAAGAAAGCTAAAGAGATTCCACACAAGATTTACATTTTGCGGACAGCAATAGATAAACATGGTGTGGACTATTATTAATACTGGTAGCCTGCTTGCTTTCCGCTTTACAGGCTGCTTAAGAACAATTCTTATTGAGAGAGACTCTGCTGGTCTTGGAGCAGCAAGAAACGATGAGGCTTACTTTGGCAGTGACAAGAACGACCCTCTAACACCATAGGCTATAGGTGCTCATCACCAAGTCTGTGGGGATCAGATGAACTTTAGTTTTTTGTTTTTGTTTTTTGGCCGTTCGTATATACATACATATGGTATAATTTAATAAAATTGTTTTTCTTAACGTTTCATTGCTTTATAAAGTCACACCACATATGTAGTCATCATTAAAATTCACTGATGGCCAGTACAAAAATTAGAAAGTTCCAACACTGTTAAAGCATGGCAAGGAGTTATGGACCCCAAGGTAAACTTCAGGATGGGTCAGCCCTATCATTACTCACTGTGGAGTGCAAGCACTAACTTCTGTCTAGTTCTGTCTGAGAGGAAAGGACTTCATCCATGAGTACTGTCACTTGATCACCAAACAGGGAACAAAAGCTTCTCTTGGCTTTGGCACTCTCTGTTTCCTGGAAGGGTTTCTGACCGAGGGAGGCAGAGAGGACAGTGAATGATCCAAAGTGGATCAACAACCCCTAATTGAGCCAACAGAACTCCCTGGAAGACTGGAAGCCAAGAACTGTTGTCAGCTACATGGATCTTCACCAAAGCACAGCAGCATAGCCCCCTCCCCTCACCCCATTCCTCAACCTAAAGCCCAGCAGAGAGGAAGCTCTTGGGGAGAGGAAAAGAAGGGAAGTTGGTACAGATGAAGGCCATACTACTTCCCAAAGGTCTGAAGCTCTAGACCACACCTAATGAAGATAGCAGAATATGATCCCATTTTGAAAATAAATGGCACCATTTTAACAGCAGAGCATGTTGGTAAAATCCAGGATGCCTACTTTGAAACTTAAACTCAAGAATGTGGAAGCCACACCAGTAAGCAGGTATATTCTCCTTTTAAAAATCTAGATGGGTATTCTGGTTTTCAAGCACTACACGAAAACTTTTAAAAACACTTTAATTGCCTGGTACAGTACACACGTTAGGCAGAGTTTTAAAGAGGCCCTACATCTTGAATGGGTTAAGCAATCATTCATAACCATCTTCATGAATCATGGTTAACTCTGTTTTTCTGGTGATCTGAGATTAACCATGGAACCAAACTGTGTTTCACGCATAACACATAACCAACCAAACTGCATGTACAAGTACAGGTTTATGCAAAAGCCATGATATAACTATCTCTAGCCTTTCAGATTAGGCACATAGGGCCACCTGCTCACTCTGTATGTCCCACCAAACACAAGAGCAGCAACTTTTCTATGTCAATACCACTACCGGCAGAAATTATATGATATGAAATAGAGGTTCTTCTGTAAAGTTTAAGATTTAGGGTAGAAGAAGGGAAGACAAAAACAAAATTCCCATGAAGTAAAAAATAATTCCACCTTGGTCCAGTACTCCATGAAACCCTGAGATAAACTATAGTCCTCAAATGCAAGTACTTGAACCCAGGTTCACCAAGACACTTCAGTATGCTTCAAACTGGCTCATCATCATCTTCCTGCTGTATTCATAAGCCAAAAACAGTGCCGCATTGGCAGGGAATGCTCGAATCATAGTAGCTTTCAGTCCAGAATATAAGGCTGCTATTCCTTCATTTTTCACAACACTTAAAAGAGTTCCGATAAATCCTGCCTGTTTTCCAGACATGGAAAGAACCTGAATTCTGGATTTGATACAGTCCACTGGGTATATGACAACCCAAAGGCAAATTCCAGCAATTCCACCACTTAGCATCAAAGGGACAGGGCCTAGTTCGTCTTTTGATCTCCCTGAGGCAAAAAACGATCGGCTCAGTTCATAGCCACCGAAGAAGAAGAAATAGCCCGGTACTTCTTGAAGTAGAGTGCTCGAGAGTCCGTGGTAGAAGCCCAAGAGGCCATCCTTTCTAAGGATACTCTTCACGACGGACCAAACTGTATTATGGCTTTTCGCTATCTTCCCTGACATCTCCATTTCGTGCATGGCCTGTAGCCGGCATTTCACAAGCTCAGTGGGGCACAGGGCCAGCGCAGCAAACGCAGAGGCGAAGGAACCGGCGGCTGCAGTCTGCAGATCACTCAGTTTTTCCTGCTTGTCCAATCCAACCACTTTCCTAACAAACTGTTGGCAGAAGCCGTAGCACATGAAGAGGACAGAGTTCTGGGCGACAAAGGCAATCAGTGCTGGGCCGGTCCCCTTGTAGAAGCCCCGAAAACCCACTTGGGAGTACGTCTTCAGGCAGCAGTCGGTGAGGCCCTTGTACAGCGCGGGGAACGTCTGCATCTTCACTTTCAGGGTGTCGAAGGGCTGCCCGGTCAGGACACACACTGTGCCCCCGAGGGCCCCCGCTGTGAGGTCGATGGCGGCTTGGATGGCGGGATTGGACTTCATGTTCGCCCACTCTCCGGCTGGTCTCGGTGGAAGACAGCTCTCTGGAGCTTAGGGCGGGCTTCTCAAGTCCCGCCTCCTGCTCTTGGCTCTCACTCCCTGGCGGAAGAAGCCGCTTAACCTCACGTCGGGCCGCGGCCGCCGCCCC